GGTCCTCCTTGCCACCCAAAGCACTGTGATAATTGCCCACAGTGCAGAGGCGCTGATGGGACCTTTCCTCCTGTCCCCAGCTATCCAGGCCAGTAAGGAATGGGGGTGCAAGGATGGAGCTGGGTGATGGGAGGGAGAGTTTGGTATGAGAAACAGGAAAATGCAGAAACCAGCCTGAATGAGGAAAGCTGTTATATCTTCTGTGCTGAACTGAACACAACTAACCCAGGCTGACCAAAAGCACCTTGGTGTGGCCAGTGTGGCCTTTCAAAGGCCCCAGTCACACCAGCTTCCCTCTCTATCCTAAAAAAACTGCTGGATGTGAGGGCCATGGGAGCGGGAGGATTACATTTAACTTAAATTTAATCTCTTCAGGAAGAGGTAACTAATTTCATTATTAATTTTTCTGGCTTTATATACAAACAAAGAACAGTTTAAAGCAATTTACTCAGATGAATTCCTGCACCTTCTGGTGTCCTTCAGGACAGGCTTGTTTTATAGAGGAAAAATTCATCAAATGACTCGCTGAAGCTTTAATAAAAAAAAAGAGAAGAAAAGGCCATGGTTGAGGTGGGAAATGAACCCAGGAACGTTGACTTTGAACTACATGAAACCAGTTACACTACAGTAGCACGGTCGGTACTTTTTTGCTTGGTTTTCAGCCACAGCTTTAAAGTTTGGCCAACAAAGTTAAGAAGTCAGGAGGGGGGTAATTTTTATTCTTCAGATGAGAAGGCTGAGAAATCTAAAAGCCTGGTGCTCACAATAACTTATTATTGCTCTTTATTTGATGGAGTGACTCATATAGCACATAGCTTCAGGAGCAGGTTTGGGGAAAGCTATAGCTGAAAACACAGCCAGCTGTAAAAAGCTAGCCATTTCCTAACAGCATCTACTTCAAAAGAATAAAATAGATGTCTTCTTTTTTCTATCCAAAAAGTCACTGCAGAAGCAGCTTTCTTTTGTTATCTCCCAATAAATGTGTCTCTGTAACAGTGGAATTTACTGCTGGGGGTGTGTGTTTCTCACCACTGCTTCCCCTTACAAAGGGTCTAATCTATCTTGTGCTGGGAGAAGGCAAATGATGTCATGTTTCCTGTATTTCAGCCTACTTTCCAGCTGCGGCAGAAAGGCAGGGCTATAGGTAAACATTTCACCCTGCAAGAGCAGAGCAGGAGTTCTCGGTTTGAGCTGGGTTAAGAGCTCTGGGAGCAGACTGATGGTCACAGCGTTTCTACATAGAACAGTAAAATCAGTTGGGTTGGAAAAGACCTTTCAGATCAGGAAGTCCAACCATTAGCTTCCAATGCAAGCCGAGGTTAGCTTTAGTTTTCCCTTTGGACTACCTGACTTCACCCCTGTGGTCAGGGATGATCCGGGCTGGGATGCTGCAGCAGTGGGGAGCCAGCATCCTGGTCGTGGTGTGCCCTGCCCCACTGGCAGCGCTGGCTGGGGCAGGGAGCTTGGCAAGTCAGGACATTCTGCCTTGGCACAGCCAGCGTGGAAAGTTTGCAGAGCACTGCCTGAACTAGTTTTACTTCCAGTGAGAGAGTCCTTGACATTCATTAAGGCTAAATTCACTCTCACATTTTAATCAATGAAATGGAAAAACAACAGAACAGGAATGCGTAAGCAAGTCTGACTACTTTGTCTTTGTTTTCCTCTAGTATCAGCAGCCTAACAAGCCCAGGATAACACCCGCCTGCTGCCGGATTCGCCCAGGCAATTATCACAAATGCAGAGTGAATAATTATGCATGCAAAGACCCGTCTGGTACCTGCCACATGCAATGACTCAATCTGGTGCAGGTGCATGTGTCTGCCTGGTGTGCGCACCACCTCACACAGCGGGACCAAGGTGCTCTGGACCACCCAGTGGAAAACTCAGCTCATTCCACCATGTCACCATCTTGTCTCCCCACAGAGAGTGCTGAGTGCTCGGGGTTTGAAGTGGGGAGGCATCGAGCTATGTGCTGGGTGCAAGGAGGTTCCCTGGGGTGCTGACACCCTCTGTGCTGGTATGGGGTGCTGGAGGGCTGCAGGCAATGGCGCCCTGCTTTCCACTGACCGCATTCCAGAAGTGACACTGTTTGAAGGTGAGATGTGAAGCCTCACTTTTCCCCGTTGCAATGACAACAGCCCTTCCTTGGTGAATTTACCCGTATTGGTGCTATCCCTTTCCCCAGGAGAGCTGCCTGCAGTTTTGTTTCTCTGTAATTCTGTCCCTTGCCTTTATACCAGCCAACTGTGGCTTTCCTTATATATTGTACCTTGAGTGCAATACAAGGAGATAAAAATGAGTAACAGCTTGTTTCCCAGCCTTGGATGGAGCAAAAATGTTGATGAATGAGCAGACTACTTGCATGAAAAAGAGCAGGAATAATTTGCAATGAATAATATTCAGGTGTTACCTTTTTTTCTCTTCCACTCATAAATTGCTTGCAAATTCCCCCCCCCCCCCCCCCCCCCCCCCAAGCTGTTAGTCAGCAGAGTAAATACAGAGCAGCTTGTTGGAAGCATCTGTTTTCTGCTCCTCTGAGCTGTGGTTAGACATGCTGGTCACTCTGATTGATGGGAAAACTCGTACTAGCATCTTTCGCTGGTTGACACCTCAAGGCTCCTGGGGCTTTGCATGTACTTCTTCCACGAGCAATGGCAGATGCTGAAAAAGCTGTTTATTTGCTACTGTTCATAATTTATCAAACATTGCTTCTGCAAGTCTCAATCAACATCACAGCTTGACAGGGACCTGGGTTAAGAATGTATGATTTTATGAAAGATACGTGTAGATCTTTAGGCTGCTGGAGAGTCACAGTTCACCATTTCCCCCCATTTCTCTGGAGCTTTGCTGTTAAAAAATAACATGCCTATCTTTGAGGCCGTCCCTCACCTCTGTCTTTACTTGTTCTGCTTGTATTAATGCAGGAGGTTGCCTTCTGCCCTGCTCCATGTGAGCTGCACACATGGAGGTTTGATTTTGTCCTTCTAATCCCTTGTCTGTCATCACCTTTGGTGAGGGACACACATAATTCAGAGGAATGCATTGTAGAATTTAAATAGCCCCATCTCCCAAGTGTCACCTCTGTCCCTCTCATGTTTTAGCCTTTCTCTCTGGGCCCTGCATGGGACAGGCATGTGCAGGGTGAGTGTGCCACAGGGGCAGGCTGTGGGAAGGGCGGGAGGTGGGAGAGGCATTTCCCACTCTGTCCCCCATCCCTGTGCATCTCTGCCACTCAGCACAGCGGAAGGACAGGGGTCAGTCCCTGACCAGTGGATGGTTATTTGCACATGAGCTGTTTCTCATCCTCATTTTTCACCTTGAAATGCTAACAGTCATGAAGAAAAACTTAACCACTGTGCAAAGCTGACGTGTTACCCTGCCCTGCCTTCACCTCAGCTTCTTAGCTGAGGCCAGGAGAGGCTAAGTGATATGCTGGTGGTCACTGTGTCATGACCAGGTTGCCTGGCTCCTTGTGCTGTGCGTCGTGTGGACGCTGCAGTCTAAGTTATTTTGGGATCTCTCCCCCGCTCTCCTGTTTTCTACTCCTTTTCCATTGACCTATTCTAATCAGTTTCCCTTTTTCTTCTGCTGCTTGAACTCAAAGCGGTGTGAAGGAATGACCTCTCTTTCATGCACATGATTGCATTTTAAACTTTAATAGCTTCCATACCCTTTCCTAGGAGGTGCTCTGCTCAGCTGAAGGTCTGTGCATTGCACTCACGTTTAGGGAGCAGCCAGAACATGATGGAAAAGTACAGTCTCTGTATCAGGTCTCTTTCTGCATGATGGACACTTCAGATTTAAGCTACACTTCTTTCTAAGCTGAACGTATGTGAGGTTGGGGTTCATCCCATAGAGCACTTATTGACATTATGCAGCTCTAAAAAAATCTGGTTTGCCCATGAAAAAAAATGGAAGTGTAATGCAGCTACTGGTAATTAAGAGATATCTTAATATCATGCAGTGATTTCTTCATAGATACCAACAGAACAGGCTTACAAGGAGATAGTGAAACACACCCAAAACCACTTTTGCTCTGTCACAATCTCTCCTCTCAAGTGCCATGGAATGTTTGATTTGTGTGTGTGTGCGTGTCTGCAGAGCTGGCAACGGAAACCAGAGCAATTGAGATTACAACAGTTCTGCTTATCCTAAACTGAATATGGCTTTTTTGAATGTTTTGAGTTTAATGACTTATTTCCTCTTAATTCCTCCTTGACTAACCATTGGTTTTCTCGCAGTAAAGGGCCTAGATATACAAGGAATGATCCAGAAAGAGTGGTTTCTTAACATGGATTCCAGAATGGAGAGGTTAAAACCCAAATTACTTCCTGGTTGTGAAATATGTGAATTATTAGCTCCTGGGTGGATACCTCTGTTATGAACTTTGATGTTATGAACTTTGATGTGACAGTAGCTGTTCAAAGGAGAGGAAAAAGGATGTGTGAGAAGTCTGCAAAAATCAGAATACAGGCTTTTAGCTTATAGACTCTGTCTTTTTCTCTCTCAATGGAGTTCTTTCTTCTCAGAGGTAATTAACTACATCTAGGACAGGGATGAGCTGAGGTTTCTTCTTTGCTTCTCTTGCTGGAAGAGCCTAAATTGCTAGGTTTAGAAAGAGTATTGAAGTACAAAGTGTGAGGGAGATGCTGGTCCAGAGGTTCAGACCATTCCTAACATCACAGGAAAAACAAGCGAACAATACCACACTGAAAAAATAACTGGTTGTTGCCTGAAGCAATTGCCATGTTCTTAAACTGCCTTTATTTGTACCAATAATGCTGTGGTGAAAACTCACTCATCTTTGAGGAACCCCTTCTGGTACTGAAGCTGGGTTTTCTTGACCCTGATGTTACCCACCACCGTGGGGAAGAGCCACCATGGCGTGGGGAGGACACCCCTGCAATGAGTAGGACAGTGGTGCTCTGTGGATGAGGGCACAGGGGGAGTGGGCATGGCCATGTTGTGGATCTCCTCGCCACCTCTCGGCAGCTTTCCCCTGTTTTCTGGCCATCCTCAGAGGGTATGAAGGACAACAAACCCGGCTGTGGAGTGAAAGATGAGACCTGAGGCTGGAATCCAGCTTGTGGCAGATAAATGCTGGAGAGGTGGGCTGGTCCCCACAAAACCCTCCAGACCACCTCTAAGCAGCAGCTGGCTTCACTTACAACCCCAGCTGAGATGAATGGCATTCCAGCACTCGCCACCAGCCCACTGCTGCTTCTCCTTTTACAGCTGTTGCCTGATTACATCAAGAGGTTTAGCCTCTTGCTTTTGCTTTTGATGTAAATCCAGCCGGGAGGGTGCATTGGGGTGGGAACTGAGGTTATTTGCTCAAACCCCACCTTCCAATGTGAAAGCCTAGTTGAAGGTTAGCAGTGGCAAGCGATGCCTCTGTGACCTCTGCTTCCTCTGCCGTAAGAGTTTGCATTGTAGAGTGATGAATACATAATTCATTCCCACCCACCAGGGAAATGCCCTGGTAGCACGGCACAGACATCCGCAGCACAATATTGCAGGAAGAAAGGAGGTGGTTATACAAGATTTAAAGATATGGTGCACAGCCCTATGGGAGGGAGGCGTGAGATGGATGTTGAGTGGAAACTGAGTAATAAGCCTGTGCGGTTGGATTCTTAGCAACTTTTATTTTACCACAAGCATTCAGCACTATTGACACTTTTCCACCATTTCAAGACACCTTCACTCTGGCTGCCAAAGTCCAGCGGGGCTGCAGGGCACAGCAGCTCTCCCAAGGCTTTGTTTAAGGGGTAATCCCGTCAGTGCTCCCCACACTGTCAGCCCTGCAGATGGGGTAGGACAGAGGCTGGAGAGGTACTTTGCAGATCTTCACCTTTGCGATGCTCATGTTTAGCTCCTGATTTTTTTCTTCTGTTTTCAAATGAGAACAGACTTCAGGAAGAAAACATGCATGCCAAATGAACCACCATCAGGGCTTGTACCCAGCTCCCCAGGGCAGTCTCTTGCCAGTCACTGCCTTTTTCAGCATGGTCTTTTCTAATGGTTGTGATGGACTTGTCACTCGTCTTCGTATTCCTCTGCTGAACAGTGAGATTGGAGGAAGCCCAGAGATGGCCTTTAGCCTATCCTGCTCTTCCGGGACATGAGTCATTTTATACCCAGGCCTTTCCTGATGGGCATTTGTCAACCCATACTAAGGGAACCCGGAGAGGAACATTCCCCTTAACCTGCTCACAATAAGCACGTGATAGGAATTAGTTCATGGTGTATTGGTGATTTCTCCACACGTCAATCTTAAAAGGTCTAATCTGAAATTTATCCCTTTTTCCTGGGCAGATTGGAAAGCAGAAGAGCTGAGTCATCCCCTGAGAAGACATTTCCCACAGCAGATGTTATGCCATGCGATCCTGCTATCTTTTGCAGTCATTGCTGGAGGAGCTTCTGTGTCACTCTAAGACCTGAATGAAGATAACATGGTCCCATTCCTCCAGTCACATCACTACAGCAAAGATAAACAGTGTTTGCTGCAGAACAAGCGTCAGTAAATCCTCTCTATTTGAAAACATCCCTGTCTGTACTGAGACCTTACCTTTGAAAGGCGATAATGTGAAAAACATCCTGCTAGATTTTGCAATGAACATCTATTTACATATGTTATCTGGGAGCTGTCCTGTCATTTCTAACACTGTGACTTCTGGGTGACTTTTCCTCTGGCACTGAGTGCCAGCTTTGTGCCAATAATCTTCGATGACAGTTTATGAGGTCTAAATTCAGTCCCCATTTCCCCTGTATATTGTGCAAGTCACTTAATTGTCTTGTTCCTCATCTGTAACACAACATTGCCTTTCTCTCCCTGTTGCCTGCCTGGTTTCTGTGGGTCAGATGGTGGGCCAGGCAGGGATCTCCTGGATGCAGGTATCTCAGTAGACTGTTTTAAATCAGTAAAGGACTTTGGGTGATTAACTTTTGAATTTGGAGCTAAAGACATTCCAGTTTCCCCCAGTTCACTGCTAACCACACTGTGAGCTTTGTGAGATCTTCTGCAATATTTAAATCCTAGCTTCTGGACTTCACTGATTATGTGAGGAACCTGTTGTTTTGGTTTTTTTTTTTGGTGGTGGTGGGGGTTGCCTCATCTTTTAAATGTACCTCACTAGCACCAGTGCAACAAAGATCCAGAGGGTGATGACTCCAGGTGGCTGGAATCTGTTATTTCTTCAAGTAGGAAGAAGTTTGGGCCAATCTCATGACTTGACCCAGGCTCAACTCATCAGTCTTGTGTGTTGGAATGGGCCCGTGCAGAACCAGTGCTGAAACCAGGAAAGAAGCTACTTTTCCTGCTCTATATGGGTACATTCCAGCTGAAATCTGCATGTGCCCATTCAACACACAGTGGAGGCACAAAGAATCATCAGTGAACCACCTAACAAAAGTAAAGTCCTGCCAAAAGCACCAAATGCTGCAGTCTGTGAGGCAGCCTTGGGGGATGCGCTCAGGGCAGGTGTGCAGCAGTCAGCACTGAAGGGCTCAGAGCTTCTTGGAGCTGACACTATAAAAACTGAGTCCCAGCAGTTTCTTTGGACAGCCTGCTGCTGCAGAGTGTGTATCTTAATAAATGGTTCTCTGTTGTTACCGAATCTGTTTGCCCAGTGGCACAATGCATATATTGGGTATTAAGAAATAGCATCTGCAAAAAGTAATATATATTTAACAGAAGCATTTTAGAGCCCTAAAGAGTTTAAACCCCCTGCTTGGGTTTCCCTCTGGGTGCTCCAAGACAGCTATGAGAGTTAAAGTTATGTATATGTGCTGTCCTATATTGAAGGAGCTACATTGATATATTTCATTCTCAGCCTCTGCCTCCTCCTATCCAATTTACAGTCTAGACTGTTTAAAAATATCTTGTTAGTGCTTTATTTCTATGGCAAAAGGGCACTTACGAGACAATGCACTCAACTGGAGATTACACAGGTTTGTTGCAAGTTAGTGCATGATAACAGGAGAGGTTCCAGCAAGCTCCAATATATAATAAACTGTGAAGGCAGAAATTGCTTATGATTAAACCTTTGATGGTGGGCTGTTAGGAATTCCCAGTGCAACATGCCACGCCACCTTTTACATCAGCCCTAACAATGACACTGCCAGACTTGTTGGCTCCAAGGGGTTAATTATACACTCCGGATGAAAACAATGCAAGGATGCTTGTTAATACTCAAATCATGGCATGGTAACCCTGGGTGACTCCTTTACCGCTGCTGCCAATTTGCAACGTTCACCTGGGGCAAGATAGGAAGAGGCTTGTCATCCCTCACCCCTTCTGCTCTCTTTCCCTCCTTGCTGTTTTTTTCCTGTTTGCAGCATCACTTTGCTTGTCAAGGCAGCTGACAGGCGGGAAGCCTACCTGATTATTGAAATAGTAAGGTCAAAAGAAACTGAATCCACTTGCCACAGGTGGCAATTTATAGCCAGTGCTGGTCCAGGGCAAACACAGATAAGGAGCAGGTGAGGCAGGCAGAGGACTACTTATGAGAGTGGTAAGGCAGAGGTAATAAGAAGGATTAAAGAAGAGGTTTTGTTTGCTGGGCTAGTAGTGGGGTGAGGAGCCTGAAGGCTTGTGTTTTGGCTGAAGCATGGGTTGGGGAAGCTGCATGATGTTTTTCTGGTACACCGAGAAACTGCTGCTTGTTGTTCATTCTTTTTGCTGTCCTCGCTCTAGGAGCCTGAGTGCTTTTTATCTGCCAGAAGCCAGTGCTGATATCAAAGGTGAGCAGAGATAAGGTGTCTGTCTAAATGTTGGAAACTAAGTGGAGATGTCATACCCCAAGGAAAATACTTGTAGAACTTTTGAGTTTTCTCTCTTGTCAGAAGACTGTAACAAGCTAAATTAGCATCCATAAACCCAGGGTGCAGTTGTTGTGCTTTCAGCAGTTGCAGGCTTTGTATTTTTGTTCTTCTAAAAATAGCTTCAATGAAATGAAAGTCTAGAAACTGCTCTGGTTCCCTTTCCTGCCCTGGGTGAATCCTGCCTCACTCTGTAATCATAAAGCTAAACTGATGCTGTTTACGCTGATAAATTTTCCTACCTAGATACATCCTGAATGTAACCAGAGTACTTGACTTAGAAAGGTCTCCAAATGCTGGCTACAGCAGATGTATTGCTATGTAGATGTGGCATGCTTTCAAGCTGGAGCTTTTGAGCCATGAAGCATATAGAAAACTTGATAACCCAAGGGTTTTCTTCTTTTCCTTACATCTTTTCCTTATATCCAACCTGAACTTCCCCTGGTTTAAACTTAAACAGGGAAAGTTCAGGTTAGATGTAAGGAATAAATTCTTTAATGTGAGGGCTGTGAGGCACTGGCACAGGTTGCTTGAAGTGGTGAATGCTCCATCCCTGGCAGTGTTCAAGGCCAGGTTGGACGGAGCCTTGGATGACATGGCCTAGTATGAGGTGTCCCTGCCCATGGCAGGGGGGTTGGAACTGGATGATCTTAAGGTCCTTTCCAGCCCAAACCATTCTGTGATTATCACGGTGTGAGATTTGCCTGGAAATCTACTGTTCTGTTCCTGGAGAGCCCCTCTGCTGCAGGCGTGCAGGGGGGCCGCTGCTTGGGCTGGCGTGTGCAGGCTCTGAACACGAGTCATTTTGGCCTTGCATAGTTCACAAAATCAGTCTGTGCCGGTGTCTGTGCTGCTCCAGCAGGAGCGACTCGAGTGCCAGTGTATGCAGAGCCCAGTGACTACTTGGGGAGCAAGTATTAATCTTCTAAAGGCGAGCTAGTTGAGCATCGCTGGTGTGTCTGTGCCCATGTTCTCATGCAGTAACAAACCCCTGGCGAAACCTGTCCTCCTACAGTGTTTTCCCAGACTGAAGGAACGTTTGATGGCTTAAGGAAGCAAATAATAAATAAAATGGGGGGATGGGGGGCCAAAGCACACAGTAAATAAGACTTTGACCTTATCTGAAGTATTCCTGTGCGCTGAATAGAGCCAAGGACTCTTGAATAAAACAAACTTGAAGTTTCTAGGCCAAGTAGGTTTTGAGATACGGCTTTAGGATAAATTGTTAGAGGAATATTTCAAGGGCTGAACTGCACCTCATTTTTCAAAGTCCCACATCTCACAAACACCTTGTCTGATCTGCCACAAACCTTGTCAATAAATTATCCCCTGGCTGCTGATTACGTATGCAAAGTTTTAAGCCAAAAAGCAGCACAAATCTTTGCTCTTATCTTAAACACCTCCCTCCCCAGGATACATCCCCTGCCGCCCTAAAAATGCGTGGTTTGTATGAGCTTAACTGTGGAAAAGCACGGCCAGTTTTGAATGGGGCTGTGTGGTTGTGCTGAATTGCTCCATCCAGTAGCTGTCTGAAGAGGCCGTCTGGGGGTCTCTTGCCTCCTGGCCAATAGCTCTGTTCAGCCTCCTGAGGGATGCTCTTTCCAAGCCGGGATACAAGGAGAGAGCTCCACTGGTAGGGTGACACAGCCCCTGTCCCATGGGAAGTGGGGCTGAGACCCTGTGAGCTTTGGGGCTGCCTGTGGGATCCCATCACTCCTGGCCCTGCTTTCCCAAAGAAGAACATTTTAAAGGTTTGTACCACCCATGTCACACCAGGAAAAGGAGAGAATGAAGTGATCATAGGGTTTGGAGCACGTCATTTTCAAGTTCTTTATTATAGGGAACTCAGATAAAACAGGAAGTTAGGAATTAAGTAGTTTTAGGCTCTTCTTTTGTGGTTGAACTCCAGGTGAAAGTAGAGCAAAAGAAAAGGCAAAGGAATTGAGGCAGGAGCAACAAATAAGGCTAGGACATCAAATGAGCAGAGATTCAATACTGCTTAGTGTCATCTTCCATAGTTTTTATCCAGAATAATTAATCTCAAGGCATTATGACTTTCTGGCAATCGCATTCTAAGAAGGGCTTGATAAATCTGTGCTTCTATTTTAGAGACTTGGATAAGCATTCTTTGTTATTTTCCCCCATTTGTACACTTGCAAAGATAAGTCTCTTTTCCAGTATCCGCGTTTGGATCCAGGAGGGAGTTATTCACTGTGCTGGCAGCAGTATCCAGCAACAATGGGACAATGACCCTGTCCTCCTGGTAATTTGTTCTATGACATTATAAGGGTTCAAATGAAGTAATCATTTTATAGCAGACTAAAGAAATTTTGCATGCCCATGGTTATGATTATTATTTCTTTTCACACTTGTCTTCCTTTGGCTCCTAAGGAAATAAAGTAATTGGAGGTTCTCCCGCTCCGCTCCTCAGTTAGATCCTGTCTGAAGCCCCTCGGATTTTCAGTGGTAAAGATTTCAGTCAAGGTTCACAAAATTAACCATTTCTCAGACATAGATATTTGATCCGTACTTTTATTTGTGAAACACTTGTAATAAATATAGAAAGAAATCACTGAGGAACCCACTACACTAAAGCGTGAAGGAAGAATTTGGGATGTTCTCTTGTTCTCTTTTAAGAGCTCAGTAACTTGTTGATGTGTTTCAAAGTCAACATTTCTCAAGAACCAACAGGTAACCGACTCGGAAGTGTTTTCATCTCCAATCAGTTATTTCAGCAATTGGGTTAATTTTCAGATTGAAATCCTATCACACAGATGTAATCGATATCAGTCATCTAGAAGTTAGGGAATA